AGGTGCATTCCTTGTCATCCTAAGAATTTCTTTTATTGTTGTCAAATTCCAACACCAAAATTTTACTATTCTTGATCCTTCATTACTTGATTTAATTTATATGCAGGAAATTATAAAAGCCAAAAAATTTAGACATGTCGATATTGAGCCATCTTTAAAGAATAAATTTAACCGAATGTATTCCAACATTATTGCAACTAGAGTGTTTGCATGGCCTCTTTCATCAGGTGTACCTGCTGGCAGTGATGTTGATCCTGATACAAGCAATGCCGACATTGCTCATGATGATTTGGAAGAGGGTAGCAGTGATTCGGAGAAAGATGTGATTCCAGATTTCCAGACTGACATGGCTTAAATGGTTGAAGGGATACATATATCTAGCAGCAACAATACAAAAGGTGGTGGCAAAAGAAAAGAACAAGATCATTATGATGTGCGAGGTAAAAAGAAGAAAACATTTGGAATTGGTGTTCAGCTGCTGTCAAAATGCAATCATCTATTTGAGAGTATATCGACTAAGAATGATTCCATATCTGTTAATATGGATTATGAAGGCTATAGTATTCGCTAGGTGATGGCTGAGCTGCACTCAATTCCTGGAGTTTCAATTGAAGATGAGTTCCACGACTTTGCTACGGAGTATTTGAGTTTAAGAAGGAAAAGAGAAATGTGGGCTAGTATAGGTGATAAGGAGTAGAAGTTGAGATGACTACAACAAATGTATGCGCGCACTAAACGTGCTTAGTTGACATAGTATTATTACATTTTCTTAACCGTTAATCAATTAACTATTCACTTACTTAATGTATTTATACATATTTATTTTATTGTTGTAGAATAATGGGATGTCGATTTTAAAAAAGAGTTTTTCTTTTTTCAATTGCCCAAGTTTATCCAAGTCATTGTATTTTTTCACATTTTGTGTTGAGATATTTGGGCATTTCCATTTGCTATAATTTGATTACTGTTATATTTATATTAAACAGCTTTCTGGGAGCTAATATACTTGTATGAGAATATTGTTGGTTTTTAATATTGTATTTTATCGATGAATTAAAACTGTCACTTCTATTGTTATTAATGTTAAATGGTTGACCATTAGATTGAATTTGTTGGTAATTTTCCTTCACTGTGTTGTTCCCTGAAGGTCTTGAATATTGAGTGTTGCTGTTAAAATACATGTTTTATTATAATATGTCATGTATAGCCTTGTTTGTTTGTTTTTTTTATGCCATAAGTTGATGGGAGCTGCTACCTTGTGTGTCTAGCTGTAATTGTAACAAACCATGTGCAACTATTATGTGAAATGTTGGTGTGTTTTCTTTTCTGCCATTAGGTGATGGGAGCTGCAGCCTTATGTGTGAAGCTACATTCATTGATATACCATGTGCAGCTACTGTATAAACATTTGTTTGTTTTTTTTTTTTGCCATGAGTTGATGGGTGCTGCATGGTGATAAAAAAGCTGCAAGTAATTGAGATACCATGTGAAGCTACTGTGTGCTTGTATAGTATGACAAGGAGTATTTGTTTTCTTTTCTACCATAAGAATTGATGGAAGTTGATGCCTTATTTGTTAATGCTATTCATTGTTGTTTACATTATTGTTTCAACTATTGTGTGCAAGTGAGTTTTGAATATTCTCTCAGCTACTGTGTGCATAGGAGCCAGTGTATGAAATATATCTGTATGTGCCACTGTAAATGCTATTTAAGCTGCTAGATTTGTCACCGATTATTGGAATACATGCTGCTCTCTTTGGTGTGTTGCTGTTGGAGTTCATATATATAAATTGTGTTTATTTTGTGAGGTGTCAATTGAATCTCCACTTATAGTTCCTGGAATACAATATTTGTTGCTTTTTAAATGATTTCTGTATATGTTGGTGTTCACTGTCATGGTGATAAGAAAAGAAGAAAAAAGTGGGCCAAGGAATCTTGAATAATTGAATGAGAACAAAAGGTGAAAAAATACATGTCAGAATATATTAGTGTAAAATTAACATTATATGTACAGTTTACAGTCTATACATGCGATAATGCGATAATGTACTTATATTGAAAGCTGAATAAAATAACTTGTGAAAGAGATGTAAAAAGCACTGAGTTTTTTCTATATAAAGAGGATTGTTTGCAAGCTAATTTTCAAAGAACTTTTTTGCTTCATAACAAATCTCTTAGACCTTAACCTTCATACAAGCAAGTGAAACACTGTTTTTGTTAGCTTTACAGGTATGAAAAACTTATATTGCACCAACTATTTGATAGTTTTTTTTATTAAATGATATTTAATTATTTATATATTTTTATTAACAACATATATTTTTTTTTTGTTTTCATGTAATTGAAGTTATGGATGATTCACGGTTTAATGGCATATTTAATGGGGATTTCGATGGTAATTATGATAATGTAATGAACTGCATTGTAGACCACATTAATTATCCTAATTGTGAAGGTAGTGGTGCCTCATTTTCTGGTGTTGGAGATGACAGTGATGGAAACGACGTCGACGATAGTAACGATGACAGTGATGATGGCAGTGACGATGATAGTGATGATGACAGTGACGATGACGATGACGATGACAGAGTAACGATGACAGTGATGATGGCAGTGACAATGATAGTGATGATGACAGTGACGATGATGATGATGATGACGATAAATTTATTTTAATGAGGAATTTTTATATGAAAAAATTAATTATATGCACAGCTGGAGCTATAAACATGTATTATATAAATTATATGTATAAAAAACCATATATGGTTTCGTATAATACAGGGATGCGTTGGTTGATAGAGGTTTTAAGAGGTCATTGAAAATAAAGTGTTAACATGTTCAAGATGGACGCAACCACTTTGTTGAGTTTGTGCACTAAATTAGAAAAGCACTATGGCTTAAAACCGTCAAGAACAATTAGCGTTATTGAAAATATGACTGTTTCTATTTATAATAGCAGTTGGGGCATCAAATATATAAGTGCAGGAGTGATTTCAACATTCAGGTGAAACTATTAGTAGATGTTTTAAAAAAGTGTTTAAATCATTATGTTTGTTTGTTGTGGAAGTCATAAAACTAGTAGATCCATAATTTACGAGCACACCAAGAGAAATTGCTATGAATCCAAGATTTATGCCACATTTCAAGGTAAGATGAATTTTTTTTTTAATTAAGTTGTTTAAATAAGAATGAAATATGTTATAAATGTTTATGAGTACTTAATGTTTTTGTGGGTTATAGAATTGTGTCGGTGCCATTGATGGAACACATGCCTGTACCTAAATATCATCTGAAAGTCAAATTCCATTTATTGGAAGAAAAGGTGTACTAACACAAAATGTCATGGCCGTTTGTAGTTTCGACAAGCAATTCATGTTCATATGGGCAGGATGGGAAGGCAGTGCACACGATATGCATATTTTTCTTGAGGCTATTGTCAATAGCAATATCAAATTTCCAAAACCTCTATAAGGTTGTGATTTTGACTAAATTGAAGATTTGGTAATTGAAGGAATATAATATTTTTTTTAAAAAAAGTTATGTTATTAATTACTATGTTATTATTTACAAGAAAATACTATTTGGTTGATGTTGGATATCCAAACGAGTTTAGGTATTTAGGTCCCTACAAAGGCGAGAGGTATCACTTCCAAGAATTTAGACGGTGTGAACAATTATATGGTCAGAAAGAAATGTTTAATCGTGCATACTTGTCACTACGTGACGTGATCGAACGTTCTTTTGGGGTATGGAAATAGAGGTGAAAATTTTTGCAAAACATGTCGGCTTATCCATACAAAACACAAGTTGAGATTATAGTTGTATCAATGGCACTCCATAACTATATTTGAAGGAGATCGCAAGATGATGCAGTTTTTTTTAGTATGATCGCAACCCATAACTAAAGATGATGCAGTTTTTTTTAGTATGATCACAACCTATAACTAATTTAATTCCAGATGATTTTTTACCTGATATTGTTCAGGCTTTGGCCGTTCAAGGCTCATAGAGGCCTTCACGTATGGATTTTGTACGCGATGGAATTGCAAATAGTTTGATGGAACAATAAAGGAGTACATTAATGTATAAGGATATTTAATTTTGTTATGTAATCATAATTACAAAACACCTATGTTTTGGAATTATATATATGTGTCTATATATGTCTTTTTAATTAATTCAAATCAAATATAAAACACAAACCATATTAATCAAACACAAGAAATTATTTTTTTAATTATAATTTAAACCACAGTTTTACAAAACACAAAATTACTTTTTTTTCTACCATAATTTCAACTACATTTTTTTAACCAAACACAAGATTTTTTTTTAAAAAAAAACCACAACTTCAACTATAGTTTTAACTAAATATCAATTTTTTAAAAAATTAATTTTATAAAAAATATTTTTTATTAAATTATTTTTTTTAAAAGCTGCTACAATACAAAACACGCTGTAAGTTGACATTGGCCTCTTTAATTATGAAACATTCTTGTTACGTTTTGGAGAGTGTCAAGATTCTTCATCAAGCTTCACTTTATTCATGCTATTTAGAAATATAATAATAATTAATTTTTAAAATATTTTTATTTAAAAATATATTAAAATAATATTTTTTTTATTTTAAAAAATTATTTTTAATATCATCATATTAAAAAAAATATAAAAATATTAAAAAAATTAATTTAAAATGAAAAAAATTAAAGGAAAATGCCAAAGTACTTGAGAGGTAATAATCTCAAACGTCCCCTGAGCCTGGAGACGTGGCAGTTGGCACCGTTGCCCAAGCAGGCCGGGTCAGGATATGAGCTGCTATCTCGTTAGAACACGGCTGCGTTTTGACTTGGGTTTAAAATTCTTTGGGTATTGTCGCTTTATTGCTGCCAAAACCAGAACCTTTGGCTGAGTGCCACCTCCAAAGCTACGTGAACAAGCAGCCTTGCTGGTTTCAATAATTGTTCTTACATCATTGTTTATACTTGATGCTCTCATATGAATCATATCAACCCTTTTCTCATGGCAAGGCATGAGCAATAGATTTATAGCTTATGCAGAACAATCTAGCCAATGGTTACAGGAAAAAGGAAAAAAAAAGGGAACAAAATTGAACTGATGTACAAAACTCATATTACAACTTTAGGCATTGAAGTCCTCCCTGTGGATGTTACATAGCTCCAAAGGGAACTCCCTTGTAAAATAAGTAATTCAATAAAAATTGACTGTATTCCTTTGAAAAATTTAGTAAAGCAAATTCATGGCATGAAATTGAAAGGGACTAGAGGAAAGCACATGTTCTTTGCTTGCGCGGTTTCTTTTTTGGTTTTGGTGGCCGCAAAGCAACCTTTATTGCAGCATCAAACACAGTCTTCACATTCTGAAAAGCAAGGATCAAGAAAGAATTACACTCTTGAACACTTTAAGAGGGTTTTTTTCCCTTTAATGATATGCTGTAGATGATTTAAGATAATGCTCGCATCTTGAATTGAGTTTTAATATCTGAAGTATCTCTAATTTACCTGTTGTGTTTTGGAACTGCATTCTATGTAAATTACAGCACCGATCATTTTCTTCAATTCTTCACCCTGCACGTCAATCTCATATTTAGGAAGTCAACAGTTAAAGGAATTTCGTAACTCTTAAGTTGGATGACATGCCTGAGCTGTTGTTATTGTTGTTGCTCCAGGATGATCGATTATGTATTGCTTGTCTTCTCGCAAATCTGCAAGTGGATGGCAAAACTATAAAATCAGACGTGACTGAAACATTGGTGAAAGATCAGATACGAACAACAAGTGACCGAGGAAACAACAAATACAGACGCAGATGCAAGACAAATTTACATTCTCTTGAGTCTTTTGAACATATATGCAAATGAATTTTCATTTACAAGAAAGTTTTCCAACCATGATTGTTCAGGTTTATGATGGTATTGCTTACCAAGCTTGGTTCCTACAAGCACAATTGGCACATTTGGAGCATAATGCCTTAGCTCAGGTATCCACTGCTTAGTGATGAATACAGCAATATCAGTCAAATTTCTATTTAGATGAAGGTGTTAAACTGAGAAAAGTTTTTAAAACAATTATGAGAACAAAATAAATTTTAGACCAGAAAGGAAATAACCTTTTTATAGATGTTCTCGTAACTGGCCTTGCTAATGAGAGAGAAGGCCAGTAAAAACACATCAGCTCCTCTGTAACTCAGTGGCCTTAGCCTGTTATAGTCTTCTTGCCCTGCAATAAGGCACAATTCATCACCCAAAGATTTCAAAAGGTATAACTTAAGATAACTTCTATGGCATTCTTAACAAAATTGAAGTCAGGTCAATCCAGAAACTACTCCAGATTGGCTATATGGATCCAATTCGCATCTCAATCAAGAAAATACGAGGAACTTACCTGCAGTATCCCACAATCCAATATTCACTGTACTACCATCTACCACCACATTAGCACTGAAGTTGTCGAACACTGTAGGAACGTAGTCCTACACAGAAAAAAGAAACAAAAGCATAATATAACATTGGAATTAACTTCATGCCTTCATATTGAAATAATCCATCACAGGGAAGACTAAAAAATGTACCGTTGGAAAGGTGTTGCTAGTATAGGAAATGAGCATGCATGTCTTTCCTACAGCCCCATCTCCCACAGTCACACACTTGATAAATCTTGCTGTGCTCATTTTCTTGATCCCTAAGCCAAGCTGCTGCTACTCTTCATATGTTCTATTTCTCTGCTCTTACAAATATATAACAAAATGTATAATAAGTAAAGAAGTAGCTTAAGTACGAATATTTAAAGGGAGAGGCTGGCTTATACAATCTATGAGCCTAACATCACCCACTAGAGCATTAACTCATCCAATTTAAAATGATTGTTGCAAAGCTTTTCTTTTCTTTAAGTGCAAGGCCAGAGCTAAGATGTGGGTAACAAATTAAGTAGGTTTGGTGCTGGTTGGTGGTTAAGTGTTAGAGAAGGGAAGCAACAAATGATAACGACAAGGAAAGAATTGCTTGATTAACTAATGCAGCAATGATGGAAATTAACAGGAAATAAAAATGAGTTGGCCAAAAGAGGTCAAAAAGTTGTAATCTTAAAGTGTTTTATGGCTGTTGCCATCATTATTGGTGGCCTGTGCATATCTGAGCTTAGAGCGTAGATCAGATTAGCTTGCCTGATCCCACTGATGTCTTCTGCTTAGGTCCAAAGTAGAAAAAACAGAGTTTAGGTTACCTGTCCACTGTCTACCGTAATCTTTGTTATAAAGTCTATTAAACTGAAAACAACAATTGATGGGCCAAAACCTGTAAAGGAATGGGAAGTCCAGACATAAAGGGCTCTGGACTTTACCATGTAAGCTAGTAGAGTATAGAAACAGCTGCTACAAGTTTTTTTTTTTTTTCCAATATGAATTCAGATGCTAATGCATAAGCATGCGCAAAAGGAGCGTTCGTAAGCAGAAGAGCTGCAAAATTAAGGTGTCGTCTTGAATTTCTTGCTTAAAAAAAAATTAAAGACAAAGCATTTTCCAAGAAAAAGCTTTTTAAAGTATAAATTTAAACAGCTACAACTCAACTTTGTGCTGGAAACATTCAGTTATAGTTCTATTCGAATTATTAAACCATATATTTCAAATTTATTATGGATTTTTGTATGCAATATTCGAAATTTTGGGACAATTTCAAAAAGAAACTACTTTATCTTTCAAATATCCAATCATTATGGTTTTTTGTATGCAATATTCATAATTCTGAGACAATTTCAAAGGCATTTTGTTATTTTATTCGAGAAAAGCTTTGAAGGCCAACATCCCAAGGTTAAACCTCACAACCACCGATCTAGCAGTGCTTATATTGCCTGAAACTAGTACTTCCAGTTGTTTTGTGTTAGAGACAATGAAGAAATCCACATATGATTTAGTTAGTGTTTGGAACATGGTAAAAATCATGTTTCTAGACATTTTAAGTTTTTTTATTTAAAATAAATTATTTTTTATTTTTTAAAATTATTTTGATGTACTGATATTAAAAATAATTTTTTTAAAATAAAAAAAACTCTATTTTAATATATTTTTAAATAAAAAATACGTTAAACTATTATCACAATCATAATTTCGAATAGTGTCTTAACCTTTATTTTAAATAAAAAATACTTTAAATTATTATCATTATCATAATTTCAAATAGTGTCTTAACCTTTCTTGGAGAATGGAAAGCTTCTTTTCATAATCATCCTGATATGTCTCTACGAACCATAAAACTCAATACTTCAAGCATTCACTGTATTTCTTGCTTGAAAAGGTGGGCTAGGTGTTAATGACTAAAGGAAAATGTCATGACCTAATTCCATTGAGAAAGGTAGTATTACATTCATTCACAAAGGGCTAAAGCCAGTAGCAATTCCAGCAAGCATCGCTCAAAAACAGGGGACCTCAAACGCCAAACCTGTAATTCATTCCTGGTCCAGTTGGCCCAGCGAAGAACAACACACCAAAGACACAGCACTCCGAATAAAGTAGCTTACTAAAATTAAAAGCAAGATTTATGTTTCCCTTTCGCCCCTGAAAATGACGCATCCGGTAACGAAAAATAATGGAGTTCATTTTAATTTATAAGCAAAATCCCTTAAATATTAAGAAATTCTAAAAGTAATTAATTTTATATTATATTGTCTAAAAACTAGAAACCCCTAATGGTACTAATAGTACTGAATAAAAAAAATAAAATAGAAAACAATTAAGACCCTTAAATATTAAGAAATTCTAAAAGTACTTAATTTTATATTATATTGTCTAAAAACCAGAAACCCCTAATAGTACTTATAATACTGAATAAAAAAATAAAATAGAAAAAAATTAAAAAAAACAATCAAATTAACTAAAAAAATATTTATTTTTCAAAAATAGCTCATGCATCAATCCCCTTCGTGTTAAAAAAAATTTGTTCTCAAGTTTAGATATTGATCAAAAATCATCCTCTACTTTAAACATTCTTTTGTATATCACCATTGTTTGGGTCACCTCGTCATTGGTTATATTAACATGATTTTGCAATAATAATATTTAACCCAGATAAAAATCACACTAGTTCTTGGAGTTTTTTTTTTTTTTTCAAGAGACAACTTTCTCATTTCCACCTATATAAATATGTTTTGTTTTACAAACTCTTTCATTCTTGATTATTCAATAACACAAAACAATTAAAAAATTATTGAACCTTTATATATGTCATCTAATGACCCCTAACTATAGTGATTTGAATATATACAATGACAGTTATTAATAATTTTTGGGATTTAATATCAACTAATTTAGTTAAAAACAAAACATAATGAGGTTTTTATAATTCAAAATCCTTAAAGACTAAAAACACCATCTAGAGAGACTCGTCAACAACTACCTTACAATTTCTCATATATATATTTTTGAAAATCCTTCATTTGATTTTTTATTTAAAATAAATTACTATATAACTTCAGCATAACTTCAGCATAATCATGTTTATAGGACTTTTTATCAAATAATCATATGATAATCACTTTAGCCAACCTTCTTAAGGCTAACTAATGACAATTTATAATCTTAATCTTGATCTTATAACAACTAAGTAAAAATTCATGACTAAGTAAAATCCATAACCTTAACCTCAATTTCTCAACAAATAAATAAATTTTTCATTCTAATCGTTAAATATTTATTTTTTTAATTCAATCTTATCACATATCACTTTATCTAACTTTAATCTCTCTCAAATTTAATTTTAATGTATATCCTCTAATAATTACTCTTATGATAACCTAAAATCTTTGTTTTAAAAAAAATGAAAAGAAAAAAGCTTTCTTTTTCCTAAATTTAAAGTTTTTCTACTAGCAAAGCTTTCTTGGTTATTTTAAATAAACCTCTCAACTACTAGTACAACTTGCGTCGTAATTTCACCAATTTTATCTATATTCTGTCATAGTATTTCAATAAAATTTCTCCTCTAAAAAATACATGTATATTTATTTTATTTTTTTTCTTTAATCATGATATATCACTTTTTGATAAAAATTCATGCATTGTTTAACTAAGGGGTTTACCATCATTGTGTTTAATTAATACCTATTTAAATTTCTTGAATATTTTTCATATTTTTTATGAAATTTTAGTACGGGGATTTATGGAGGAAGCCTATCTGATAATATATTTGCACTTAAGCTTCTAAAAGGAATCAAGAGAAAATCCCTAAATTGGGAAGTGACGATTAACGACAATGCTAGGGAGTCCAAAAATGTTGATGGGGGGCTTTGAAAAAGTTGTATTATTTGTTTAATAGCCTCCTTATCTTAGAAATGACTTAATCGAAGGTAAGGTTCAGCAACTAGAAAAGCAACTCATGTTGGGTGGTATTTGGTGTGCTCCCGCCGACTCTTGAAATTTTGAAGGATAGAGTGCCTTCCATGGTAGATCATATTCTTATCCGCATCAGGTCTCAAAAATGAGCAGCCACTGGCAGATGGAACAATGTAGACATAAAAGGTTGGCAAAATGTTTTTGTAACCTTGGCATAAGGAATCGCTCAAAGGTTCTTGTCTTGAACTTGTCTATTGTTGGTGGACCACTGAAGCTACTTTTAAAATAAGAGTGGGTTGTCATCTACCGATCAATAAATGTTCTAGGAATGATCTTTTTAGGGACCTTCCACACATATATTAACAACCAACTCAAAACTAATTACAAACAAGGGGAATCTAATTGTTAAACTAAGTTGTGAGATATTTTGGATAGTTAGCTACAGAGATGGTAGACAAGGATTACAACAAAATTTCTTTTGATTACAACAAAATGGTTTTTTAAATTAAATCAATGGAATAACAATATTCAATCATGGAAAAAAATAATAAATTAAAAAAAAAATTACCGATAGAAACTAAAATAGACTTGATATTCAGCCAATCCTAAGTGATATTTCTTGAAAATCCAATGGTTAAAAAAAATTCATTTCCAAAAAGTTATCCCGTGACCATTTGTGCTCATGTTATGATGTAATAAAAGATCAAAACTGGAACATATAAACAAAAATGAAATGATAAAGAGGAAGAAACTAAGCATTAACTAGAACAATGACAACATGTCTTATAATTCCACCATAACTACACCACATTGGCATGAGATATGATGAAAATTATTCATTTTTATACAGATTACTTAAACCACATTTAAGATTTCTTAACATTAAGCACTGATGAATCACTTAATTATTATGACTATCACTCTTTCATGTGGAACTAAAAAATCTCATCCAATGATGTTAACGTGTAACCCGTCAAATTGTTAGGACATTCAAGCATTCAAACACATATCAATTTATATGGTTCGGCAACTTGCCTACTCCACGGAGCTCCTGGTTTGTATTAATCAAGCTTAGAAACAATACAAATAACAAAACAAGGAGGAGGAGAAAATTCTTCTCTACTCAACTCAACTCTTCTTTAGCTCTCTCTCTATGTTTTTCTTTGTGTTTTCACTCTAGTTCTACTTACTTCGCTCTCAATGACATCCTCTATTTATAGCTGAAATAGGAGACAATCCTCTCCATTTAGTAAATTATGGTAGCTACCATTTTTCAATCTTAGGTAACCATTCTTGACTTTTCCCATGCAGCCACATGGTTGCCAACAACCATGTTTGTGCCCATTTATAACAATCTCCCACTTGGACACAAATGACGCTAGATCTGTCTTTTAATTTTTTAGACCAACTGAAGCTTTACACAACTTCAGTTTATCCTTTGGTTAATATGTCAGTTGGATTCTTGCTTACACAGATCTTTTCTAGCAACAATTACTCATCGTCTAGTAATTGTCGGATGAAGTGATATTTGATCTGAATGT